AGGCAGGTTAGGGCGCAGTAACATAATTGTGTTGTCTAATAAGAAAGTTTCTTTATTCCCAAAAGATGAGTGTCTGAGATTCATGTCAAGGCTAAGACTTTAGCCAGAGCCTCCTCATGAAGGACACTACCAGCTAGGCATTGAGCAATGTTATTAGTCATCTTATTAGTTCCTGGGAGAAACTGCAGAATATTCCAACCATGGGAAACAGGGTGTCTGTTACCCTCCAGAAGTTTGCTCACCAGAGGAACACTGCCTTGTACATTTCCACAGCCAGAATCCTTACACAGGGGCTCAGAAGGCTGAGGCAGAGGGATCACAAGTTCAAAGCCAGGCTCAGTAATTTAGCAAGACCCTAAGCAACTTAACAAGATTCTGTCTCAAAATAAAACCTAAAAAGGGCTGAGGATGTTGCTCGATGGTTAGGCATACCATGCTTCAATCCTTGGTATCAAAAGAAAAAGAAAAAAAAAAAAATTACAAGAAAATAGTGTGACAACTTTAGGCTCTCATTCTTACATTTTTAGAATAACCTTTCAATCACACCCTGTCTTCGGCAGTTTTTCCCAGTCCAGAACCTCTCTGATTCACCTTTTCTAAGTTCAAAACCAGCTTAAGCAACTTGGTAAGGCTCTAAGGAACTCAGTAAGGTCCTGTCTCTGAATAAAAAATATATAGGGCTGGGGATGTAGCTCAGAGGTTAAGCGCCCTTGAAATCAATCCCCAGTACTAAAAAAAAAAAATTTTAAAGGAGAAGGAAAAGGAAAATAACCCTCTCTTTTCTTTGTTTCCATGATACCACATACTATGGGAGGCTGCCCTGCCCATGAGCTAAGCATCCTCTCTCAGCCTTGAGTAAAGGGGGTGTTTGGTCTGGCAACGAAGGCCAAGGGCTATGTGAAGCAAGTGGCTCCACCTTCGTTGGCAGAGAAGTTTGCTTCAGCTCTGGATTTGAACATCACTCAAAGGGGGTTGCTGGATTTGGCAACCCCCTTTGAAACATTATCCCCTGCCTTATTTGGTGTAGAATATTCTATCGAAAATCCTTTTACCTATAAATAGATTCCAGGTGGAATCTTGTCTTCCAGCGTGGAAGAGGACCCTTGAGGTCACAGAGCAGTCTGGCCCTTGATAAGAAAAGTACTTCTGTATCCTGAGCTTTTTCACCCTTTTCTTAATATTGCAACCAGCTCTTTTGAACCCAGCTCATCTCGTCAGCGCAGGTCGTTGGCCAGAACATGTATCCGTTTAATGTTCTAATTCTCTGGTTGCTACACTCCTCATTTCTCTCACTTATCAAATATTGAGTGCCTTTTCTGCATCAAAAATTCTCTAAGAGTTAAGGATGAATGATGAATTCAAAGTCAGAGTTCCCATCATCCAGGAGCTAACACTTTGTGTTTCCTTTGCAGACACATCTGCTTCCACCTAGTAGAGAAATTGTGAAATCTTCTCATTTTGTTTTAGTGTTTTGTCTCTTCTTGCTACATACTATCATGAACATCACACCTTTATATATTTAACATCTTTAATTAAATATTCTAAAGGTACCACTCAGTGTTTCCAAACAAAACTAAATCTGGTAACCCTAGCTCTAATGACTGCCATTCAACCATTCATGCAATACACAAGCCATAGCTTTTACCATCTCATTCTGTATACAAAGTATATCAATTTGTCTGTCCCTTTTCTAAATTTCCTACCTAACTCTGAACTCCACCCACTATATCTCCATTGCCATGTTCACCTATACTACTGCACTGTTCTCCCTACTTAATGACCCTATAACACTCCTTCTTCCCTCCAAATTCTCCAAGCTGTAGTCCTGAGTCAACGCCTTTCATGCCACACATGTGTTCATGCAAAAATCCTCTGCCAACAGCTTGGGATGCAGCTTAGTGGTAATGTGCTTTCCTAACATTTACAAGATCCCAGGTTGTGTTCCCATCACCACAAAAAGAAAGAAAAAAAAATGCTAACCCAGTTTTAAAACAAACACCCTCCAAAAAAACTAAATTCTGAAAGTGACCACCAGGACCAACATCTGATCTCTCTTTCCAGACACACCTGAAGTCTTTCCCTTTCATTCTCCGTTGTAGAGTGGCCATCTTGTGTCTTAGGGATCCCTCCCTTTAGAAAACATCCACTCTTCCCACACCCAAGAATGCTCTTCTCCACTCCCTTTGGCCACTTTAACTCTTTTGGCCAAGTTAACTCCAACCCACATTCCTCTGTTATAAACTTGCATGAATCATGTTCATTTCTGAATTTCTGCCTCGATGTGTGATTATGCATCCATCCATTAGTCCATTTATCTGACTCATAGTCCCATTTTCTTTGGATCTATTGTTCAATATGGTGCTGTGTCAAGTGTGTCACTACTTAAATCAAAATTAATTAAAATTATATAAATTTCAGCTTTTCAATCACACTAGCCACATTCCAACACTAAATAGTCACATTTCTAGTAACTACCATACTGAATAACAAATATAGAATATTTATGTCATCGTAGATTAGCACTGCTGTAGACTTTAAGCTTAAGTTGTAAGTTATATGTTATATAAGTGATAGGTTATAAAACCTACAGAATCCACTAAAAAAAATGTATAAAAAAATACACTCAAAAATACAATAGATAAATGGAGTATGGTAGCAACTCAGGACACTAAGGCAGGAGGATCACACTTTGAGGCCAGACTGGGAAACTCAGCAAGACCCTGTTTCAAACTTAAATAAAATAAAAGAAAAGAAAAAGAAAAAGAACAGAGATGTAGTTCAACAACAGAGTACTTCTGGGTCTAATCTCCAATACAGGAGGAGGACCAGGGCTGGGGGAGATACTATACATAAGCCAAAATGAAATTCTGAGAAAAAAAAAAGAAAAATTCCAAGTAACAGAGGAAGCGTAGGCATAGAAAACAGGGGAAAAAATAAAGTAAGTGGAAAACATAAATTCAAGTGACAGACTTAAGCCTTAACATATCAATAATTACATGAAATGTAAATTGTCTTAAGTAAAATAAATCCTTGAAAACTGGGGAGTTTCTTGGTTACAGAAACAGAATAGTCTGCACCATTGTCAAAATTTATACAATGTCATATAAATTGTATAAATTTTATATTAAATATTATGTAATTACTGTTTTGTGCAATTAATTTTTAGTATCAACTAATTTGTACAATCAGAAATATTGTGAAAAAATTTTCTATGAATTGTAGAAAAACCTACAAAAAGCTATCAGCTCAGGTTTTACCTGCCACAGTTAGGCTTTCCCTGAAGCTGCTGTTGAGTGTAGTGACATGCCTGGCACTCCTCACCTTCCGCTCTGCGTGTTAAGTTTTCCCAGGGCTGTCTCAAGGGCCTTATTTCTCCTGAAATCCACACTGTTCTAAGGGACTTCATTTAAGCCCAGGGCTTCAAGTGCCACTTACACCAGGGTCAGCTCTTTGCACCGCATGCACACCACCACCCCAACATTCTCTAGGACACCACTTTTCGTTGAGGCACTTGAACTTGAAATGAAATTTCTTTTCTATCCTAGATAGATACTATTGAGTGCCTATTTTGAGAGCCCTTTTTCCTGACTAAATTTCATAAATCATTCTGATGGCCCWTCATAAAATTCTGTGCTGAAATCTGCAGGAAATTTTTTTAATGGGAATAAAAAAGGAAAAATGGTGATTGACAGAATAGAAATTTAAAGAAATCAATGGAGGACTTAGAACTACTTTCTATTTAGAAGAAAATTCCTGAGACAAGGGCCTTGACAGAGACAGAATAAAGAATCCTAAAATACAATATGCTCTGTTACAATCTCATTGTAAAAGGGATTTATAAAAAGAGAGAACTTATTGTATAAAGATTCACTTGGTAGGCTGGGGCTATAGCTCATTTGGTAGAGTGCTTGCCTAGCATGCTCAAGCCCCTGGGTTCAATCTCTAGCACCACCAAAGGGAGAAAAAAATCACTTGGTGAACACAGACTTTCCCTGAGACAAGCTAATAAGTTAATAATTATAAGAGTTAGTGATTCCAAACATTAGTGTGCTATTTGCTATGACATATTAAAGAACAGAAAAGGATTTTCAAGTTGATTTGGTATAACTGACTCATGTTACAAAAAGAAGCTGGATTCGTAAGAGGTTCATAGTGAGCTGTGCCCCTATAATCAGAACCCATTTCTCTCCCACCCAAGTCCACACCACCTAAAGGATTCATCGGCCCCAGCTTACATTTGTACTTCAAAGTACAAACATGTGTAATACCAACTAATTTTACATAAACTCCTATGTATCTTTTTGCAAAAAATATCCTGGTAACTGTCTCCACCTCCAAAGAACCTGGGTCAGACATACTGGGTGCACAGGAGTGAGATGTTCATGCTTTCTGGAAAGTGCTGTGGGAAGGAAGGCAGAAGGGCCAGTGTGTGCCAGGGATGTGACACTCCCCTAGCCATTGCTGGCTCTGAAGATGGAAGAACAAGTGGGATTCCCCCCACTCCAGCCTCCAGAAGGGAACGAAGCCCCTACATATAGACTTTACCTAGTGAGAACCATTGCAAACTTCTGAGCTACAAAACTACAGGACAATAAATCATGTTGTTTTATGTCACTATTTGTGGAAATTTATCACAGCAGCCATAGGAAAATTAATGTACTTCCCACAGATTCATTTCAGGCTCTATTGCAGCCCCTGACAAGTATTGGATCCTCTTTATAAAGCATCAAAGAAGAACAAAATTAGCAACTAAGCAATTTTTTTCCTCCTAAAATAAACCACTCTCAAAATTCAATTCTAATGAAAATTTATTAAATCTGTATTAAGTAGGACAGAGCTAAGAAATGCCCCTCTTCTGTCTGTAAAATTCACAACACCCACCCCAGACCAGTGCTTGCCATTTCTCCTCARCTGGGCATGTGCCATGTTTCACTAGCTTTCTACAATCAAGCAACATCTAATAAGTGTAGTAGTTGGCTGATTCAAAAGTTCAAGTCTTCTCAGACAGTGTTGAATAGCAGAGTGACTGTCACAGCAAAAGGAGACCTTGCTTCATTTTCTAAATTAAAAAGAACAACAACAACACAGGAATTACCTAGATAACCCAGTACTCAAAAGATCAGACCCATCTTTTGTCACCACTGTGATCTTGGGCACGAGACTTAATTTCTTAAAGTGTAACTCCTTACCCTCCCTTCCTCCCCTTGTACTTCAAATGAGACTTTACATACTGTCCTGATATCCATTTTATTGCATAAAGAAAACATTTTATTGACTTCCAAAAAGTCAAGAGTGAGGAGAAGTATTAAAACTGGACATCCTGATATAGAGCCCCCAGAATTTTTAAAACAGTGGTATGTCCTCTGCATCAGGCAACATGATGCCTTTTCTTCAGCCTACTCATTTGGTAAAATTCCATGGAGTACACAGGAACTCACATCCAGAAGAGACAGGAAGAATAAATCTTGGGGGGAAAAAATTCAAAGAAGAGACCTTGTTTATCCTAGTTGGTTGCTAATGTTCCAAGTAACCGGACATGGAAGATCTTGGAGGAAAGAGGTTATCTTCAACCTCCTTGTTAGATTTTGTAGCTGATCTCAGTATCTAGGAAGTATTAAGCTTGGAATCCTTTCCCAAGGGATTAAAACTGGCATTAAAAGGAGTATCAGATCCCTCAAAAGGCATCAGAGATAAGAGAGAAGCAACTTACAAAGATACACTGAAGTGGACTCATTGTTTTCTGGAAAAGTGCTATTCTGGTCTGCAATTAAATAAAGAAATAGTTTGCAGTCAATTTCAACTGGTATATTACTCACACTGAATTCTCTTAACAGTAGCATTAGTACACGTAGGACTCCATTGAATCTGGGACAAAAGCCTCCTTTCTCCTAACTGCCAAGACACTCTACCAATGCTGAACGCCTGCCAGTGGAAGTGGATGCACCTGCACCCCATGAGAAGGATTGGTGAAGGGTTTCATCTCCCCTCACACTCAGGTTCCTAAGAGTAACTGGGTGCAGAGGCACATGCCTATAATCCCAGAGACTTGGGGAGCCTGAGGCAGGAGAATCACAAATTCAATGCCAGCCTTAACAACTTAGTGAGATTAATTCAATCTAAAAAAAAATGGCTAGGGTAATAACTCAGTGGTAAAATCTCCCCTCGGTTCAAATCCCAGTGCAAAAAAAAAAAAAAAAAGTCTAAAACTAGAAGTTCCACGTTAATTGGATATATCTTCATCTGCCAGAAGTACATATATTGAGCTTATTGAACATGGCATCTGGGTGGGAATCTTTCCAGAGAAAAATCCCTCAAAAACTAAGATTGAAAGGAAAAAATAAAAATAAAACAAAAATCTATGGCCTTAACTGTTAATTCAGTTGGCTCATCAAAAGGAAAAACATGTGTTGGGAACAGCAAAAAATGTATTAACCTAAAAAGTTAAAACCTTCTGGATTTTCTCCTCCTACTAAAAATAGAAGCTTCTTAGATGGTAATTGCCATAGTCAGAAATCATTTCTCAACAGGCAGTGGTAGAAACCAGTGGGGTTCTGCTTTCAGAAGTGACCACACAGGTCTGGACCATGAGGTTGCTTCTTATTGTAGTCAATTATGAGAATTTCCCTATTACTCCATGCAGTATAGGACATCATTAACTTATTAACCAACTAGAGGTAGGGAAGTTTGAGTACAATACTGAAGTACCACTTTATTAAGCAATTAAGTTATGTTTTGTGAGAAAAAAAAATTTAAAGCCCATACAGTCAACCCCATTTTATCTCATCTCCCCAAAAGTACAACTTCTGCACTTATCCAACTACTACCTGCAATCCTTCAATATACCTACAGCAGTGCTAGAATACAGGTTAGCTGCTATTTGTAGACCCAAGGAGATTCCTTAAAAGTCTGCTTTTATAGGTAAGGCCCAAGGCCCTTATTTAGCAAAAATCTCACACATCCTTCAAACTATTGAAGTTTATTGGCAGTGACAGAAGGTATTGAAGTGCTATGGTACCTTCACAAAATGGCAGAAAGAAAAATGAAGAAACATGAATTGTGAGAGGGATTGGGCAGATAGGACCACTGTTTAATTCACAAAGCCTTTAAATCCCTTTTTATTCTGTTTGTCTAAATTTAGATGACATTTACACTTACCAAAATCTTCACCCACAAAGCTCATTGTCTGAAATGCGTTATAATAATCTGAAAAGGAAAGGAAGTGATTAGCCCCGTCCTGTCGCCACATCTGTCCACCCCAAGGAGACAACAGAGCTGGTCCCCAAACATAAGCTACTACAGGACTTTCCTAAGTAATGAGGTAGGGAGTCAGGGAGAAAATTCTGCATATTAGGAGACAGTAATCCTTACCTGGTTCCTCACTGGCTTCTTCCGCATAGATGGCAGTGGCTGTTTCAAGGTCAACATAGAATTCTGAGAAAATAACATGGAAGACAGGTGTGGTCACTAGCCAATAGTGGGAATCCAATATAGAAAAAGAAAGCAGGCATTCTCAGGAATGCAGAAAATAGGCATCCAACAAGCAAGACTCTCACTTACTGGAAATATGGATATCCAGGTTCATGTCTGTGGTCGACTCTAGGTCTGTGGTCTCGTCTAGGTAAGTGAGTGACTCTTGATCCCCAGTTACCTCTCCATCAGTGGTTAACTCTAGATCAGGGATCAATTCCAGTAGGTCAGTGGTTGATTCTAGAGGAGCCAGAGAGAGAAAACAGCAGCTCAAGTGCCTTCCTGCAGAATGTCTCTGCCGCCTCCATACCTGCCTGTTCCCAGCTAGACCTTTCCTCTGGGGAAAGAATGGAACGCCAGGTGGCTACTGAAGCCCCAGTGGTCTCTCACAAGTCTGCATCCTACCAGTGGTAGGAAGTCCCTGGGCAGCTGATGCCAAGGAGCTGGTCAGAGCCTCCACACATCCTCCTTTGAGGGGGTGGGTTCAGCAAGGAGCATTTGATCGTGTCCTACGTACTGGTCAGACTGGCACAGACGACTCTCCCTCTATAGTCCTTCCCAGAGCCTGAAAGCTAAAAACAAAAACTGAGAGGGGTTAAGGAGCAAGGCAAACGTCTATTGCTAAGTACAAGCAAGAGTGTGATAGCCTCTAAACTGGGCAACTTCTAATATGTTTTCATTTAATGAATTGAACATGTCTATGGCTCCTTTTCACAGCATGTCCTGAATGGTGGGGCTAGTTAACCATATAAGCATCATAGCAAAGTAGGACTCTTAGGCAACAAGCTGGTCTCCTGAGGCTGCAGTGGAGACAGATGCGCAGTCGCTGTGGCAGGTGTGGGCAGCTGCCCAAGAGGCCCAAATCGCTAGTCCTCCACTCTCCTCACCTTGCTTTACCCCTCAGCCAAATGCAGTAAAGACCAAACCCAGCCTCCCAGAAACAGAGCCACCATAAGAGGAGCTGAGAGGTAGAGGGCCAGGGAGAATGATGATTTTAATACAAACAAGCACACACTTCTCTTCCTGAGAAATGGGCCTGAAAGCAGAAAGAAATGGACAAGAAAACTTGGAGTGACAGATTCCCTTTCTCTCTGCTTAGGAAGACACCCATTTCTTTCCTTCTTCAACATGCTTCACCCTTCCTTTCCAGAGCCACTGATTTCCACTGTCTGTGACCCAGCTGGCTGCTAAATCTCTCCAAAATGGACTGTACTCCACTATGGAATGAGGTTCCTGCCACAGGACCTTCAGCTTGAATTAACTAGAATAATGTCTAACACCCAGCAGGGAAAGGCACCTAGGAAACCTCAGCAGCTCCAGTCTCAGGCCTCACCTTACCTGRCACAGCCTGGTCACCTTCCTGAGGCCAATTGAAATCCACAACTTAAACCATCACTTAGTCACTCAGCTACCCAGACCCAGAGCTCAGCTGCCCATCCATCCCCTCCTAAGACCCTCAGACCGAGTCCATATACATTTCACCCAATACCACCTTACAATTTTCACCAGGGAGATCTCTCTCTCTCTCTCTCTCTCTCTCTCTCTCTCTCTCTCTCTCTCTCTCTCTCACACACACACACACACACACACACACACACACACCCCACAAAATTATTTTAGCCTTGTCCCCCAAGACCAAGATATCCAACATTGCACTCACCTGGGCGCAGCGTGGGGAACGCCACAGCCACTGCACACAGGACCGGGAGGATCAGGACCTTGCAGAGCATGGCGCTGGTGCCGCGGGAGGGCAGCAGGAGGCTGGTTGAGAGCGCAAGGGAAGGCAGGCAGCGGGAGACAGTTGCGCTGGTCTTTTATAGATCCTGCCTCCTCTGGCCCGTGCTGGCAGCATTCCCCAGGTCCACTGGGTGGAAGGAGCCTCGCCCTTTCCAGAGAATGCCCCTGAGGGAAAGCAGGATCTGAGTGGAGGGAGAAGCAAGAAGGATGTTGGGAGAAATCGCTGATAAGATTGTTTGCAAGTAGATTGCAAACGATACTGAGGACACTTTCCTCCTGGTCCAAGGCTGCAAGTTCGTCATCTAAGCTGGAGCCACAGACTGCTTTAAAGGGCCCCCAAAAAGCTTCCTTTGTGTCAGAGAAGAATCAAGGTTTCTTTGACTTTGAGAGCACCCTATTTCCAGCACCCCAACACACATACACCCCATGCTGGGAACTGAACCCAGGGTGCTCCACCACTGAGTTACATCCCAGCCCTTTTTATTTATTTATTTATTTTTAATTTTGAGATAGGGCTTTGCTAAATTGCTCAGGTTGACCTGAAACTTGCAAATCCTCCTTCCTCAGCATCTAGAGTCAGATTCCCTAAAGATATTCACTCTGCAAGGGTGTCATGAGCATGGAAGACGTTTGACTGTGTGGACCTGGCTCCTGCTACAGACCTTCTCCAGGGTCCAGTCTTGAGCTGAGACATGTCTTTAATTGTAACACTGACTCCAACCCTCAGAAGACATGGAAAATGGGCATAAGAAACACCAGGGTAAAGCCCAGCACATGTAAGAGAGCCTCATTGCTCAGTCAAAAGACACCACCTTGCGGGGTGCTGTAATCTCAGCCACTGCTCTTATAGGTAAGGCCACCAAAGGATCACTAATTCAAAGCCAGCCTCAGCAACCAGTGAGGTACTAAGCAACTCAGTGATACCCTGTCTCTAAATAAAATATAAAATAGGGCTGGGGATGTGGCTTAGGGATTGAGTATCCCTGAGTTCAATCCCTGGTACCCTCCCCACCCAAAAAAAGTCACCACCTATACCTGGAAAGGAAGTCTTTAATTGATATGCACAATTCCCATGAAACTCCTATGAGGACATTGTATTGCAGTGGTCTTTCCTTGTAAGTTCACAGCTGATTCTTGCCTCTCAGAAATCACAAAGTGAACCATATTATATTGAGAGAAGCCTCTCAAAAATAGTAATAATAAGAGCTAACTTTTATTGAATGCTTAACTATGTGCTGTGGGCATATACTAATTTATCCTAATATTAACCCTAAAGTAATCTCATTATCTTCCTTTTGGAGATAAGAAAACCATGGCACATAGAGGTTAGTTAACTTAGGAAAAGTAACACAGTAAATGTTACAGAGTCAGGAAGCAAATCCAGCTGTAGTCTAAAGCTAGAGCCTGTGTTCTCAACCCCTCGATTACTTATGTCCCTCAATTCCCCATCACACCCAATTATCTCTCTGATCTGCTTGCTGGTTTGTTAAAAATGGCATTACAAGAGACTTAATTCTAATGAAGGAAAAAAATACATACAGGAGAACATTTTGTTTTCTTGGGGAACTAAATTTCCTTGACCAGCCCTGTGCAATGAGGTGTAACCCCAACACAATAGGAACTTGGGAAGCAAGAAGCTCATGAGAAACTTGCAGGCAAATAAATCAACAATAGGACTCCAAAAAGACAATAACCCACTAAGTCACAGGCCAATAGTAAAAGGGGACACTTTCCCTGCATTGGGCTTAAAATGAGACTATTTTCCGCCACAGAAATGTGCAAGAATTAACTTTCAAATGTGCTATGTGGAATCTCCGGTCTTTGAGAAGAGCCAGACGAAGGAGTGAAAGGGAACCAGAGGGCAAAGTGTCCTCCCCCATCTAGCAGCTTTGTCTTACTCCTGACCACCTAAAATCAAGAAGCCAGCTTATGACATCCTTCCACAGGTCACAGTGCCATGTTCTTCCTCAGGTTCCACCGCTGTGGGCAAGGGTGGCCGCCTGCTGACCACTGTGTTATAATGGGGTGCATGTTGCTCTCCAGTCCTGGGGACAGAGATGTGTTACTTTCCCGCCCTCAATCATCCTTGGACAATTGATACTAGGGGTCCCAGAGAGGAACCAGTCCTCTGCCAGGTGAGATCCAGGGAAATTGTAAGGTTATAGCTACAGGGTTTTATTAGGGGTTATGGCTCTATTATTATATTCATATAATACATTCGCTTTCTTGGCTTCTTACATATGCTCCCAAATGTTATAGAATCAAGGTCTGAAGGTATCTTCAAATGCATCCAACTCAATCAGATATCCTGGGTCTTCTGTTAACTAGAAGAGCATTTTCCTGAGTGTAATATGCCCCTCCTCCTATTATCCCCAGCAGTGGGAGACTCAGTGCCTTAAGAACAGTTCCTCTTTGGACAGTTGTTCCTTTCAGTGACTAAAGTACACCTTCCTGTAACTTCAGCCCATTGATCCCAGTTTAATAAATATATAGGTCCTTCTTTCCTCTTCCAATGTCAAAGGCAAATATTATTTTACCTTCAAATTTCTTCACCCTCCTAAAAAGAAAATACAAGTTTGTTCCTATTTTTCCCCTGAAATTTTCCCAGGAGCCAGCACAGTGCCTGACACACAGGAGGTGACTATAAACACTTACTAATAAGTTAATGATGAGCCAGTGTGCACCACTATGGGTGCACACCTGTGATCCCAGTGACTCAGAAGGCTGAGGCAGGAAGATCACAAGTTTAAGGCCAAACCCAGCAATTTAACAAGACCCTGTCTCAAAATTAAAAAATAAAAAGGGCTGAGGATAGAGTTCAGTGGTAGAGCACCCCTGGGTTCAACCCCCAGTACTGGGGGAAAAAATAATTAATTAATTAATTAATTAATTGATGACTAGATGGTTCCTTGTCACTAGTCTGTGACTTCATTTGTCTGTTTTTTAGAATTAAAACAAATTATCACAAGTCTGATGCAGTTATAGCAGGAAAGAAAAACCTTCCACCATCCTACTTTCTGGAAAAATCTGAGGCTTTAATTTGATTGTGTTGAGTTGGTGTTCACATGGTCATTAAAAGCGGGGAGCCAGCAGAAACTGCAGAAAACGTCCTGACAGCACTAAAGACTTTTCGTCTACCTCCTTTGAAAGGCAAGTGACTCACCGGAGCCAGAGATTCAACGAAGAGATTTATTGAGGGGCTGCCCGAAAAGGAGAGGCAGAGAACAGAAAGAGGAGCGGAGGAGCAGAGAGAGAAAGAGAGCAGAGAGGAAGAGAGGAGAGAAAGAAGAGGAAGAGAGCAGAGAGGTAGAGGGCAGAGAGCATGTGCTTACAAGCTTCAGCTTAAGAAGGGGAAGGGTTGTGTAGGGGAAATGGAGAGTGCTGTTTGGCAGAGTGACTGAGGAACAGCAAGCCACTGTGTCCTGAGGGGATTGGTCAAGAGAACTTTTGAATTTGGCGCCCTTTGGAGAGGAGGGGGAGGGGTAAGGGATTCCATGATGTTATCGCGAGATGGAAATTTATCTTCAGGGGAGGGTCTCCCACACACCCAACGTCCTCTACAGTAGATGCCTCTTTAGAAAGTGATTTGAGCTGTGTGATGCTGTGCAGAGGTATCATGCTTCCCTGTCCCACCCTGACTCCTGCTCCCAACAGACCCAATTTACATCCAGCCAAGAATTGGACCCAAGGCAAGGTGCTTCCTGCATTGCAGACCCCAATCATCATTCCTCTTCTAGGGAGCATTTTCTAACTCAAATTTCTAACAGATGGAATAGAAATTCAGGATGAAATAAAAATTTTGTTATATGGACCATCTGTCCTCCTACATTAGGTATGGATTCAGATTAACACATCTTCTAGGATTAGATGAAGCATTTTTTGAGGGTATGTTCAGTGACCCAGCTATTATACTAAATACCTTGGGCAATTCAAAAGAAACTCAGAAATTGGTTCTTCTCTTAAAATAATAACCTTGGAGTAAGAATATATATATTACAAAAGCAGTTCATGATATACTAGGAAATCTAATCATGGGCCAAGAGTACCAAAAAGTCTATTTATTTACAAATATTTACATAATGACAAGTGAAGTACAATAACAAAAGCAGGAGAAGCACTTGGCTAGCACATCCTGGAGTCTAATAGCCTAGCTGTAAATCCTGATTCTCCCAGGAATATTAGGTTACTTAACTCACAGAACTTCAGATTTATTTTTCTTCTGTGTAACAGAAGAATTAAATTAATGTGACTGTATATAATGTCTTGAATAGAAAGTACACAGTAAATATTAACTATTATTCTTAGGTGCTGTAGATGTAAACCATTCAGGTCTCCAGTAATGATAGTACTTTACCTTGAGAACATAAAGGAGTATTATTATCTGGGAAATTCCATGGGGAAGATGGCACAGATTGATGTAGAGTAGGACTCACTTGAATTTAGTAGGCATATCATTAGATACATAGAGAGAAAGAAAATGAGCTAACAGCACATGGGAAAACACAAAAATGTGCATGGGCTGGGGATGTGGCTCAGTGGTTAAGTAACACAGCTTCAATCCCCTGTACAAAAAAAAAAAAAAAAAAAAAAGTCATGTCATTGGGCTGAGATGTGACTTAGTGGCAAAGTGTTTGCCTGGCATGTGTGAGGCCCTGGGTTCAATTCACAGCACTTGCAAAAAATAAAATAAAATAATTTTTTTTTAAATCACATCATGTGAGTCATAATAAAGTTAGGAACAGGTTAATTCCTAGATTAGAAACTGCTGAAGGCTGGAAACATTAATCAACTTTTATTTGCCCACAGAGTTTAATAGAGGGCTTTATGCAGAGCAGACAGCAAACAAATGATAATTCATTTCTATGGTGAATACAGATGCTTGTGAAATCCTGAGCTTCCCTGAGTCTCTCAGACCTTCAACTTTTCCTACCTGCAAAATGCAGGTGATATTGGTAAGCCTTTCATAGAGTCGTTGTTAGAATAAAATGAACTG